TCAGCTATCCATGGAAGTCCAACCATAAAGCTATTTCTGGAACCGGATCTGGTCAAGGGCGAAACATTGTCAAAGTTTTCACGGGTTGTCACGGACTTCTGGGATAAGTCTAAGAGTCAGGAGCTAGTTTTAAAGAATTCAGCAAGAAACCAAGCCTGGACGGACAGGTTTTTTGGCGAATCATTAAGTTGGCTTATGCCAACAAACCTGCTTGAGATAGCTGAAATTTTCTCGAACTCTCCTCAACAGTGGTGGTAGCTTAAGAAACGATGAGGATTATTTATGAGCAAAGAAAAAACTTGACCATCTATCAGCTATTTATCAAAAAGCTAGAGAGAGTAAAATTGAATACATCACAACATAAACCAAAAAACTTCAAATAAAACATAATACTACAGAAACATCTTCTAACATCAAAAAATTGTACGAGCATGCAGAAACGCAACCTATGTAGTTACTAAGGCATATAAATAGCAGAATAGTTGTTTTTTATTATAACAGATCAGAAACGTTCCAAAATGTGACATTAGGTATAATAAAGACAAAAATTTCAATTGTTTTCATCATTTACACGAATCGAATGTCTGGAATCTTTGAGTTTTTTATCAGCAAAAACTGAAGGAGAAACTTATCTGTCAGAGTGTAATAAGTTTGTCAAAATATTGTTGAGAGAATCGTTCGATGTTTTCAGGCAATCTTTGGCACTCTTGCCATACGTTCTTTGTTCATACTCTTGTAAAATTAAACATTTTACCGCTAAAATTGTTTCACTTGTCAACCTTTTTTTACCTTTGAAGTAAGTGACCGGCCAATTTCGCTTGGGTGTTTTTTCTTGTAGGCGTTTGAAAATTGCAGTCTGACAAATTAACGCGCGAGATTTTTCGTGCAATTAACGAGACAGCGGATAGTACATCCACTCGAAACAACATCATTTCGTACTTAGCATAGCGTGTGGGGGGTTAAAAAAGTCCAAAACAAATGATATAACTCATTTCTTTTTAAAATCTTTTAAATTGTGTTGATGTTTTACAAAACTGTTTGAGGACATTGAAAGGTAGGTAGGATAGTCGGCGTTTCGAAATGATACGAGCAGTATTATCGGTAGCTAACCGAGTTTTGCTCTCTTTTTGCAATTTTCTATTGACCTATATTAGAATGTGTGTTCTGTCTGTCGTGCGCCGTGAGCTTCGTACGTCACGGGGTCGTTGATAATAAGGTTTCTTGAAACGCGGACGCCTTTTCCGGCTCTTTGTCCTTTCGGCTCTTTTACACTCCCACCAATTTTGAAATTTTCTGGATCTACATTTGTTTCGCATATTAGTATGGCTAAATACTTGATGTTACAAAGTAACGTATGGAGAACATTTTGTTCACAATAGTTACTTTGTTCACGATGCCAAAATTCATAGCATCATAACTTAGTTGGAACGTTTTTTTTTCTAAATTGAATTTGAAAAGCAGGGGGAGGGGTCGGAAAGAGCTGTCAATTCCATCCGAATCATTGGTCGAACAAGATCAATTTCTTAAAAAAGTTGGTGATTTGATGGTCTGCGGTGTGTTTGGTGGCTTCTCTGGACCTCGAACATCTACAGATCACCAGTTGATACCATTTTAGTTGACTCTATGCAACTTTGACTCTATGGAATGTTTGCAATTTCAGTACTCGCGACGGTCGTGGACTTACCTCTCAAGCATGGGGTAATCTTAAATTTTGGTTAATCAGTCAGACATAATAAAAAAAGCAAGTTGTGGTTCCACAAAAAGTATTCTGATAAAAAAGTTTTAATTCGGTTTTTGATTGAAATCACTGGCTGCTGATAAGGACTTGAAACTTTTCATAAAATCAAGAAAATATTTTTTCGGACTCTTTTCCACTTTCCCTCCACATTTGAAACTTATTTTTCTAAACAATTTTTACGTTGTCAGAACGTTATGAAATATTGCATGGTGAACATTTTAACTATTGAGAACCCATTTGTTTTTCATACCTTATATCGTAAACGTCCAGCGTTATAATAATACGTAAAAACTGGAAGTGTCTTCATCCCTTCTGATCGAATTTGTCTTGAGCTCAAATTCATAGAAAAAAATTGCTTTTGATGATGGTTCATATATTTTGGGGGCTTAGAGATGATCTTTTAGGAATTTTGGGACAAGTAACGAGCAATGTATTTTTTGCTATTAACACGTTTGCGGCAATTTAATCCGGCTTAGAAATTGAAATTGAACTGAGGCATGCTATTAATTCTGTTCAATACGTTACCAAATGCTGAACTTGTCACTTTGAACTTTCATTATTGTGTGGGGAGGATTATTTTAGAAAAAAAAAATGATGTCGAAAATTCATGAGCAAAATTCTTCCTCTGGCTCCAGTTTTGTTCATCTCACATAACTTTATGAACACTTTTTTTGACCAAAAAATTTTAAAAATATTTCAGCAACGTTGGATTACAGAAAAAATCATATCATTTATTTTTTTCTATAAAAATTTGACCGGAACGGCAGCTAAGACAAGTTCTAACAAAAAATTGCACTAACATTACGAGTCCAAACTGTGCACTGGATAAGCTTACAATTGTATGTTCTTGGATTCCAAAGATGAGTCTTTAAACATGTTATATTTTATTTTTGTCGGAAGTATCAAAAAAATTGAAAGAACAAAAGAAGAACAAAGGGAGCGTCCTTTTTGGGGAATTCGCTTACATTTCCCAAAAAACACAGTTTGGCCAGGTAATAAATTTTTTCTGCAGTATGTATGTGCATCAAATTTAAAAAAAGTTATGAAGTTAATTATGTTATTCATCAAATAACAATAATTTTGCTAATGTAGAGCACTTACAATTGCTTCAGATAGCAGACAGGGAATCAAGTCAATTCGAATAGTTTTTCTTGTGATAATTTCAATAAACTACTGTAATTTAATATTCATTAACTTCAAATCTTTCATATTGAGCCCAAGTTTGAAAAAGTGAAGAAGGTATGAAAATGTTTTGTTACAGAATAGCACACTGCACGTGTCACGTTTTTTTTAATCAAGCTATATCAAATGTTTATTTTACTTGTTTGCACGCGAACATTATGACTATCTAATCATGTACACTGTACACGGTAGCTTACAGGCTACGCACCCTTATCTTTGCAAAAGCTGTATATGTAATTATCGCGTAACACGTACAAAGCTTACTGTAAACCTGATAGTATAACAAGTCAAGTGGCTGGATTGACCACCATAGACCAAAAATGCTATCATAAAATTTTATTATTTAAGGGTATGAAAAAATAATAATATAAATTTTTTTCTTGATTTTGCTGAAATGGTGTCATCGAAATTTCAAAGATATATTTTTAATTGTTTTTAGCAAAAAATTTGAGGTATCGTACTAAAAAAAAACTTTCGTCAAAAAAATGTTAGCATAAAACTTCCATATATGGAAACTGTATGACTAGCATCTTTTTGATGGCGACAACAAAAAACTTTCCAAGATATTAAAAATTGCCCCATTATATATATTTTTTAGTTTTTCCAACCCCATATCGAATTTTGTAATCAAACAAACATTTTCTAAAATTTAATTTTTTGTCTGTATAACGTAGTCCTGGATACACTAAAGTTGGTTTTCTCGCCTATAGTTTTCATCATAAACGCTAACAACTCCTATTTCTTTTGTAAGGCATGTTTGTGTGTGCCTTGATTAATGTCTGATACTTTACAAATTCAAAGTTTAAAAATAATCATCGTTGAAATTTTTTGCTAGAATTTAAAAGTTTGTTACTTTCGTTATATTTTTTGTGTAAGACAGCTGTAAGACAATTCAGGTCGTTTACTATGCATTGTAAATGCAAGACCGTCCAGCCTTTGGCGACTCCAGCTATGAGTAAAGCAAGATCCTTGTCACTTGCGTTCGGTTACAAACACAACCCAAAAGTATTCAGAAACAAAATTTAGGAAAAAAATGGTTTATGAAAAAATACTTGTCATACATTTTTCATATGTAGAAAAAATCTCATCATACAAAGTTCATAAAACTTTCCGTACCTATGGAGTTGTATGATTTGTTTGGTAAGAAGTTTTTTACATATGGAAATTGTATGATACGAAGTCTTGGCCAAATGAACCCGCGAAACGTTTCGTCTTCAATTAAATCGAAAATTGCTTAAAAACAGCCAAAATAGTTTTATAAAAAGAAAATGAAGCAATTCATTTGTTTTTTTTTGTTTATTTTGCACAGCTAGAAGTGAACCTAACAAAAAAGAATGTAGTGTCAGCACAAGTGTAAGAATCAATTGTTATACATATGACATAACAAAGCAAAAACTGTTTTCCTGCAGATGTACTTTCAATCCTAGTATAAACTTTAAATTAAACTTTATCAAATTTTCAGATCAATTTGGCTCCAATCAATATGCTGGCACCTATTTTTGTCTGATATTAATTTTGTTTGAGGCCAAACTGTGCACTGTATATGCGCACAATTTGGTGTGTGTGTGGGTCTCTGGAATCCAGAAACAGTCCATAAAGATTATAAAAATTTGTCGAAACGATCGAAGAAAACTAAAGAACCAAAGATGATCAGAGGAGCGTCCTTGATGCTGAATCCGGTTACAAATTACAAAACACCGGAGTTGCAAGTCAATGGCTTGAGCAAAAATTTCAAATGATCAATGACTTCAGTGTAACTTTGGGAAAATGCTCCATGTGCAAGTGAAACTAAAATATTGATTTCAATTTTTTGTTTGAGTTCCACATTAAATTGTTTAAATGACTGGTGTCTATTCAATTTTGAGAACCACTTTGGAAACTGAAACTGCTTGGCTTTAGTTAATTCAAATGAACGGAACAATCTATTAAGTTGTGGTTTAAATGTTAATTGATACTTCGCAGATGGAGATGAAAAGTCAATGGTGTTCTCATTTTTGACAGATTTCAAAGCTTTGCATGAGCTAAGGGTTTTTCGTTGTAATCAGTAGACTAATTTGTTTTTGATAATTAAATATTTGCCCGTCTATCTTTTAACGTACTTTTGTAAATACATGGGTCGCTTTTTCAGTCACAGTAGCTCTTTAATTTACTTCTGGCGACACCCTTTCTTGGCCATTTTCAATTCTAGCTCGTCTGGCCTCGTCAACAATCTCGGCTGTTCTCGTGTGGTCGCCTTCGTATGCAATTGCACAAGCGAAGAAAGCAGCGGTTCCTATAATTGAAAAGATTTGTGGATAATTGAATTCATTACCAATTTGTTTTTATCGATTTAATTGTTTAATAGGAGTGATAACTGATAAAATTTTGAGCTTAAATTACTTATATTGGTGCGTTTAAGTCTTCGAAAAATTTTTGTATTGAGCCAAGAAAACTTGTTTGAGGAAGTAAGAAATCAAAAAGATTTTTTTTTGTTTTGAACGACCAGGCGTACGCTAAGTGCGAAGAGCAAGTTTGGGAAAAAAACTTGAAAATTGGGGCTTAAGAATGTTCAACAACTGTTATGTTCATATGGAAAAGTTACAAAAGTAGTTGTTGACAAAAAATTTGGCTCTTTTTCTTCCTGCTTCTCCCCCGCTTCGCATTATCATAATTTTTATGGTGCAACGAGTAGTTTTACAAGGCTAAATAAGAACAAGACTGCTCGTATCAGGGCGAAGCCCTGGATGTTCTGACTGCCTTTTGAGGTTTCATGAACAGTAATAACAAAAAAAATTAAACATAATAAAATAGAATCAAAACTTTTTTTCTAAAAAAGAAAAAATTTATATGAAAATCATCAAATATATCGCGCGTTAATTGTTCCAATTGGCCAAAATGGCAATCTTTAAACCCCCATAACTAAACGAAAAATAGTCACAGGTAAAAACAATTTCCGTCAAAAATGGCTAGTTAAAAAGTCGAAATTTGTCTGAAATAAAAAATAACCCACCCCGATCGTATCGAAAGTCGGAACAATGACGATCGAATATGTTTGTCGTGATTCAATAAGTCCGCATGTCATTTTTCGTAACAATAGGATAACGCTAACAAACTTTTTTGATATAAAAATTTGCAGGTGGGAGAAAAGGAAAGAGCCGAAAGTTTCCAAATTTTACATCAAATAGAGTGATCGAAAGTGAAAAAGGAACCTAGTTCTTTTTTTAATATTTTTAAATAATATTACAAAACTATCTACTTCCTGCATTGCAACTGGCTCTCCTTATTTAAAATTTTAATTTGCAATTAACTTAATATTCTTGGCTCATCGTACAGTTTGAACAAGTTACAAGGAAAAAAAAGCTAATTCAAAAGAAAAAACAAGAAAACGGCAAGTCCAGTTTTTCCGTAAGTCTCCTCGACCTTGCAGGAAAATTTTGTTTGCTTCGAACTTGCAAATTTGGAAATAAATTCCGTTCCCGGGTTGACCTCCATAGACCAAAAATGCTACTCATACAGTTCCATAAACAAAGTCTACGAAAATATGAAAATCATACAGATTTCAGATATTTGCTAAAATGGGGTTATGGAAATTTTAAAGAAATTTTGTCATAAAATTTGTCATAAAAATTGGTGTATTGTCAGAAATGAGAATACTTTCTTTTTGCAAAAAGTGCTGTTCATAAGATTTTCATGAAAACACTATGACTCATGGCATTTTTTGATGGCAAAACCAAAACTTTTATCAAGTAGTTTTGAAATTGCCCGAAAGGTTTCGGTTTGTATATTTTCAAGCGCAATAATAAATTTGCACTCAGTGAAGCAAGTTGAAAACTTTTTTGCATGTGCAAAATTTAATTTTTTGTGCGCTTGATGTTAGCCCTAGATGCACAAAAATTACATAAACTATCCGTTTTCCAAGATAACTTATGTCAAAAGCGCTCAAAAAACGTATTTATTCTGTTTATCATGTTTTTTCTTGACTTAGCTTAAGCATGGTTAATTCCAACTTCAAATGCAAAAAAAAACATTAGAATCTTTAAGAATGTATCAGTAGTGATGGCTCCCAGCAATCATACAGTTACCACCTGCAAGTCGGCAAAAAGTACTATGCACAAAAAACTGTCATGCTGGAAAAAAGATTTGTGAGATAAAATATTTCCTGCATTGAATGTTCAAATTAATTTTTTTCTTTCTCAATCTTTCGACTGGAACAAATAAAGTGCCCCTATGTTGCAGAGAAAAAAAGTCTTTTTTTGCAATTTTCAATTTTCGACCAGTAGTGATCTAGTGTTGTGGTGCTTGCCGGATTACAAATCTAAAACATTTCTACAATTTTTAATTGATATATATACAAAACACTTCAAGCGATCCTCATAGTTCAAAAAAAATACCATTGCCCATTCAAAACTACAATTAAATTTAGATAAAATTGGATTTTTTTAAAAACTTTATGATAAAATCTAAGATGAATAGTCGCATAAGAGTAAATTTCCCGAAATGTTTACCTATGGCGCTCGCAATGGGACAAGTGAGCACACCTAGTTGGAGCCCCTTGAACTGGTTGTAGTGAGAACTGCTTCCATAAGTGACGTCAGCTAACAATCCCACGAAGAAGGGACTGTAAGCATCTCCGAATATGTGAGTGAATCCAGTTGAGATTCCTAGGAGAGCGGTAAACAGTGTGTGAAACAAGGGTGAAAAAATTCAGTTGAAGTAAACGCTTCATATGGCTATAATCGTAATGGCCGAAAAAACGGTTCTTTTTTCTTACCGTCCACGCTTGTACACGCTCCACGCTCCATCGCCTTAGAAGCACCTCAGTTTTTTCACTGAAATTTTTTGCATTTTTAGTTTTTTTTTCTTCAGATTTTGAGAGATTGGAGCGGGCACAAAAACACTGATTTTGATGCAAGTGAAAACCATATATGTTCGTGTTCTAGTCTCATTTGTTAATAAACTAACGCTTTTTGAAAATATAATGTTATACTTGTAGAAATGGGATGGTTTGAACCGAAAAAACATATAATAAAAAATAAGAAGTATGATGATGGTTCTCAGATAGAGATTAGCAACTTACATTTGTCCTTTTACTCGAACAAGTGGCCCTCAACAAATTCAACTAACCGGATGCAAGTGACCTTCTGTTGGGCACAACACAATCGATCAAAATCTTCGGAACAAGTGCCATATTTACGCACAGACCAATTTCGCCCAATATCACAATCGGCCATATAGCTATTAAGGACCTTCTGCCATATTTTTCCCTTTGCTGATTAAAAATAATAGTTAGTTCAGGTTTTTCACGCTGCAATTTACATGCAAAAAAAGTGTTTGTTCACTTTTTCACGCATTTATTTAGAAAATAATTTAAAAAGCAGAGCTCTTTAAAAGCGTTTCAGAAAAACCATATATTAGGAAATTCAAGGGCAGAAAGGTCTGGAAAAGATCCCTATTGTGTTGTATTCCACGATTACAGCGAACATGAAGACCATGGGTGCCGCTAGTATTAGTCCATAAGCGGCAACTAACGGCTCCGCATTCAATGTGCGTCTTCGGAAGAATCGGGCGGTAAATGCACCCAACACAACTCCGATTACCCCACTTGCACATGTGACTGCACCAAAACCGAATGATATTACTGCGTTGTTGGGGTTTTCGCCTGAAAAAAACGTACAAAAACAGAACAAAAATTTCGAAAATAAAAAAAAAATTAATTTTGATTTCCTGAAACTTATAAAATATTACAATTAATTTGTTTATAATGGCGTTTTTTAAGTTTGAATTTTTCCGTGTAATGTAATGTTTTATAATGATACAAGTTAGCAAGAAACCTACCTTGAGCTAAATATGCTTCTTCGATGAAGAGAGGTGCCCAAAATGCAAGACAACCAACCACGTAAACATTTGCAGTGCAAGCCAATGTCACAAAAACTGCAGTCTTATTCTGGAACAGCGGGATATGTTTCGTAAATTGATTTTGAAATTAAAGGATTCAGGTTTGCTTTTTTTTAAATGAGAATAACGTCGTTGAAGTTTTTTTGCCTTAATTTGACTTTTACGCCCTTTTTGAAGCTCTGGAGTATTTTTTAGTTTTTTAATGCAAAAACCAACAAAAAATAAACATAAATAAAATTATTCAACCTAGAGAAAAAACTCCATTTTGAAGCCAAATTTTCTTCAATTTCTTTGTTCAGTGTCCGTTTTTTGTTGAAATACGTCCAAGTTGAAATACGTCTACCCACATAAACTTGCATTTAGTTAATTAGTAAGTTAATAGGAGCAATTATTCCTCGTTCTGTGCTAAATGATACTTTCAATTACTGAAGTACAACCCGTGAACAAGTAGATCACGTCATCTTTCATTGACGTCTTCATTTTTAGTTCCACTCCGTTATCAACCGATGTCTCCCGTGATCCCCTCATTGGTTCCGGGACGAAAAGCACCGTCAGAATAACCGCGATTACACCTAGAATGGGCTCTTTTCCGCTTCCTTGCATCCCCTATTTGAATATTAATTGAGAAAGCATGAAATGACATGAACATAATCTGATGAAATTTTGCATGGTGACCAAAAGAACAATTCTGAAAACATTTTTTTCTCCATAAATTACTCCATGATTTTACCCATATGAACAAAAAATATCAAAAAATTGAGAAACATGAATAATGGGGAGTGGGGGAGTGGTTAGAAATGAGCCCTAGAATGGGAGTGATCCGTAGAGACCATGTCCATGCACTGCCAACGTCGGCACCGGCGTCTTTCGCAATGGAAGTTGTGAGGGATCCAAGGATGTATCCGAACCCGGCTCCGAATGGAGATGCGAGAGAAAAGACGGAGAGAGCAATTATTCTTTCGGATTCGGAGAACAGGTCGCCTAAAAGATAAGTTAACAAATAAGATCGCCTTATTTTACAAGAATCACAATTAGTTCAACCACATTCATTTTTTTATTGAGTTATAGATTTTGGTTTTTTCTAGATTTTGATTATTTAAAGTCTCGACACTGAAACCCAACTTCTTTGAAATTTATTTCCGAATCCTAATAGCGAGTGGAAGGATTTATTATCGTATCACACTTAACCCCATTACGACTTTTATCTGGAGTATCAAAACATGCAAAAAAACCGAGCTAACATTTAGACCCCTCTCAATCTTTCGAAACTGATCAAACAAAAATTTACCTTACAAAATTTCGTCATGATCTCAGTTTTGGCTGTGATTAAGCTTACTAACCAAAAAAATATGAGGCTAAAATCTTAATTGGTTCCCTAAAAAACCATATGATAAGAGACTATCCAAAAATGGAAGCACTTAATTAAAAAAATCAAACGAAGTCATATAACAGGTAAATATTTGAAATCGAAAATATTTTTCAAAAAAAAAGCTGAAAAACAGAGATAATTTATATATTAAATTGAAAACTGACCAATCAGAGAAGGCGATACTGTGATGTAGCTTGACTCTCCAACTCCTACTAATCCCCTCAATAAAAGGAAAACCCAAAAGTTATTCGGACCCACAAATGACCCCATCAATGTGAAGAAAGACCATGCTAATATTCCCCCAATGAGGATATACTTGCGGGTGATTCTGTCCCCCAGATAGCCGAATAGGGGGGCACAACACATGAAGACAAGGATAAACACTGTTTGGATTAGTCCCCCCTGGGTGTCGTTGATTTTGAAGTAATTCTGAATATCTGAGAGATTTCCTGCTATCGTGTACCTGACTAGCAATGAGTTAATTTTACATTGAATTAATAAATAATCTTATTAAAGGAATCACAAACTGCTTCCGTTTGAAAATGATAAATAAAGTTTTTTTTTCATTTAACCAAGAGAATTTTTGTCATTCATGTTTTTAGAGGTTTGTTCTTTTTAGAGATGAGTGGAAATTGAATAACCTTAGAAAAAACTGAAGAAAAAAATTTATTTGTCATTCTTATCAGCTTAATCTGGCTAAATTTCTCTTGGTTAAATGTAAAATGTAAAGTAATTGTTCCGACTTTTTTTTCAGTCATTCATGTTTTTCTAATGATGTATCATACTCAAAACCTTTAGCTGTAATTTGGATTCTGAAAAAATTCTACTCCAGATAAATTAGATTTATTTTTTTTCATATAAAAAAGTTTGAAAAAATATGATTTTAAAAACAACACCATTTGATGTTTACTTTTACAGTTTTCGTGAAAAAAAAAATCTAGAGACCACCAACACATAAGGCAATTTTTTCCCGCCGGTTTACCAAAATTTGGTCAAAATGTCTTAAAGTCCGTTCAAACTGTCTTAGAGTCGTGACTGTATATTTCCAAGATTTCTTGTGGTTCCAGATGCGTAGCGAAAAAAGAAAGAAAAAATAACTAAAACTTCCGAAGATAAAATTCCTCCTCATTTTCATTGGTCGGAACAATGTGAGCAAAATTATCGATAATATGAAAAAAAAGTTTCGCCGAAGTGAAAATATGCTGCAATACATTACACAGAAAACAAAAATGCCTTGCAAAATTCAATTTAAAAAATAATGTGTTAACTAAAATCTCTTTTGCTTATGAAAAAAATTATTCGTACAAAAAGGAAGATAATTTTCATGAAAAATTTTTCATGTTTTTCTAATGATGTATCATATTCAAAACCTTAAGCAGTAATTTGGATTCTGAAAAAATCTATTAAAATTCGGTAGTTTGAAACAACGAGTTTTACTTTATTGTGCTTTCAAGCTCAGAATGACCTGTCGGTTTATCAAATCAACTCAAGATAAAGTAAATTTTTTTAAATTAAGTTTGAAGAAATTTGATTTTAAATTTAGGACTTTTATGTGTATTTTGCAGTTTTAACAGTGCTCGTAAAAACCTGTTCTATTTGCATGTCAACTGCCTATTCTTGTGTGTCTTAGAGTTTGTTTTTATAGAGATGAGTGGAAACTGAGTAACCTTAGAAAAACTTTAAGAAAAATTATTTGTCATTCTTTTCAGCCTAATAAGGCTAAATTCTCTAATAGTAATTAAAGGTAAGATTTAATTTTTTTCCGACTTTTTTTGTTTCAATCAAATTTTTTTTAAAGCGCTATTGAAATTATCGACTCCTTAAACTCAGTACTTAAAAAGTTTCATACAAGTTTTGGAGGTTTGAAAATTATCATTTTCATTATGCTATGAACTATGCGCGAGCTATGAAGATTTCATTTAAGATGCTGAAAGGGTTAGGCAAATATTTATGTTGGGAAAATTATCCTCCATTTTGAAAATTGTTACAAAAGTAATTGAAGCAAGGGAAATGATGGTACTGTTTTTCGAAAATTTTATTCAAACGTTTAACGATACTATTTCATACCAATTAAGAGGCAGTCGGAAAATTCGGGTCTTTGCCCCTTTTATACGAGCAGTCTTGTTTAAAATCATCTGCTGGTTTTCTCATAGCCGGAAAGTTTGATGCGATCAAATTGCGAAAGAAAGGGCTTATACAATTTTATATGATTTCGGTCCATCGATTACAATTTTTTGATTCCCGATTTTTGATGGGAACAAAACTCAACCCAAGTTTCGGCTCATTCGACATCGTGATTGGATATATAAGTTTTCTCGCACCCTTGCAGCTTCTTGCACCCTTAAATTTTGATACAAAAATTTGCAAAAATTTGCAAAAGTTTTCTGAAGTGGCATATTTACTCTCTTTTTTTGACCTTTTAACAAAATTCGTTTAATTGTAATTTTTTAAATTGTCTGTAAAACATTGTTGTCCTGAAATACCTTACATTTATTTTGCTTATGCAAAAATCACAATTTAGTGTTTTTATTTGTAAACACAATTATGATACATTTTTTCATTTGCTAAGATAAAAAACAGGCCTTTTTTCTCAAACACCAAAATTTTCAAACCAAAAATAATCTAGCCATATACAAAAACTTACATTTTTGGTATACAATTCCATGTGAAAATGTTACATTTAACTCAACTGGCCAAAATGACCAAATACAGTTTATCTGCTTGCTAACTGCTGGTTACACCCTGGGTTTTCTCATGACAAAAAAATCCGTAGTTAGTGTTTCGGATTAAGCCCAAAAATTCGAATTTTTTTTTGTATATTCTCAGTATGGAAAAAATGCTTATCATACAGTTCCATAGCATGCAAAAATGCTTAATTTGCTATTTTCATACACTTACTTTTACTCTATGAAATTGTATGAAAGAGTATGATAAGCATTTTTTGTCAAACCGGGTTTTTGCATTTTTCAAATTCTGAGGCTCAACGGGCGTCACATCGGGCGCCATAACTTTCCAAAAAATGAGCACCTTTTTCTCTCACATGTGCTATATGTTTCAACTGTTTCACCGATACGTTTCCAAAATTTCTTTCCGTTGATGTGAAATCTGCTTGACAAGATAAACAATTTGTTTCAATCGTGTCTGAAAAATCGGAGAAAGATTTTTATCATTTTCTCTCGGCGATAATCATCACCACACTTTGTTCTGAAAATAAATTTGGAAAACCTGTTGTATATTGTTTGACTCCAGAATTGTAATTAAAACTGCTATGCATAAACTTTTTAATCAGTTTAGTATGGGAAACAAAATTAACTGCAATCTTTTTTCTTAACGGTTTATTGGTTTTAACTTGGTTGTACTTTGACAACTGTAATTCAAGTTAGAATAGATAATGCGCACCGTGCTATGTTCTTTACATTTTGTAATCCAAGTAAGTCATTCAAAACCTCAAATTCAATAAGCGGTAATCGTTCAAATTCAACAAACATTTAAAAAGAAATTAAACGGAAATTAAAACCAACACAAGAAATTTGAATACCACATAGACAAATTTTTTACCTTTGTCACTGTAAGAGAGCATAGAAAAAGATAAGTTTACTGTTCAAATCCAACTCAATTTGTCTTCGTCAATTAACCAAAGATAAATAGACGTGAGAACGTTGGTTTTTAAAGGATGAATGCAAAAATTGACAACTGCTGTTATGTTTGCCACTTTCTTCGATATATCATTTTTTTCTTCTATCTAGGCAAAAAGGGTTGTTTGCGAAACGAATTTCATAAGTTTCCAATTCCGGATAATGACGTAATATATCGAAGAAAGTAACATCCAAAAGAGCAAACTGGCAGAACAACGTTATCACGTTTATTCCATTTTGTTTAAATGAAGGGAATATAGAATGACTTGGATTCGAACAAAATTTTATGTTTTGATTTTATACTCTTGTACAGCTCTATAGTTACAGCTGTAAATAAGATATATTAAAGCGTAGCCCGAGTTGACAAAAAATATTTTTCATACAATTTTCAAATATAAATAAAAAATGCTTTTCATACTTTTTCATACAATTTCATAGAGCAGAAGTAAGCGCATGAAATAGCAAAATAAGCATTTTTTCCATTGAATGTAATCAAAATTTGAGCTTTTTCACCAGTTTTTTAACCCCAAAATTGTATGAAAATAGCATGCTAAGCATTTTTTCCATGCAATGAAATTGTATGATAAGCCTCTTTTCCAAAAATGTAATTTTTTGTATAGGGCTAGAAAACTTTTAATTTATGAAATTTTGTACCTGACTTAATAATTTTTAGTTTAAAAATTTTGGTGTTTGAGAAAAAAAGGCCTGTTTTTTTTTACAAATTTATTTTCAACTTAGCAAAAGAAACAAAAAAACCATAATCGTGTTTACAGAAAAAATACTCCCTTTGTGATTTCTGGATTTTTTGTGTGAAAAAATCATCCTGGACTATATTATAAACACTAAAAATTAAATTTTGCATGCAAAAATTTTATTTGTAAAAATTATAATTGAGAACAAAAGCAAGTTTGCAACCAAAAAAAGGATGAAAAATTTTTTTCCTCAAATTTGTGTTTTTGTTTATGAATAATATATAATAAGCTTTTTTCCGACCAAAACTGAAACTATATTTTGATTGTCAAAATGCCCTTACTTAAGTTTTAATTATTTAAATCTATTTAAAGTTACCCAGTCAAGTTTTTTGGTGATCGTTGAAAAATTTATTTTTCTGTGACAAAATTAGTATCTTATAATTTTTTTTAATGAAAATTGTATGATGAGCTTTTTTCTATCAAAAATTTAAAATAACTTTTTTGATGACCAAAAAGCTTCAAAAGAGGCAAAGAGACCAAAGATTTTCAATTTTTTTTATATAAACTTTTTTTAAATTTTGTATGAGTTTTGCATGATAAGCATTTGTTCCATAGACTTCATATTTGAAACTGTATGATAAGCATTTCTCTTCTATGGGCATCAACCCTGGAAGCGGCAAAATCCTTTAAAATTGAATTAAGGAATGCAATTGGCTCCTAATAATACCTTGTACTTTGTACTTAACATAGTTTTTGGGACTTAACATTGGAGAAAAAAATTTGAAAATGAACAAAAAAAAAATTGAAAACTTTTTTCATTTTTTTAGTTATTGATTTGTGAAAATATTTTGATGGAAAAAAATGCAATTAATAACCGAGGGCAGTCGGAAAATTCAGGGCTGGCTTGCTACAGGGCTGTCGGAACATTTAGCTGCCCTGTTATTCTTTATTTAACACTTTGAAAATCCCTCGACAAAATTCAAAACCCATCCCCACCGGTGGAGTTCTTACCTGTCTGTGAAGTTTAAAAAATTGATGAAGGTGAAAATTGAATGTGAAAGTATGACTCTGCGACGCGTTATTACTTTTCCATCAACTGAAATTGACACTTTTTGGTGAGAACTATTGCTATCCGTCTCTTCTTCATATGAACTCGCTATCGACATGTTTTAATGTAATACAATTGGATAACTTGCTAAATAATAACAGTTAATGCCAATATGTTCACAATAATTAAATTTGAGTCGATACTCATTGGGTTGAAATAAATATTTGATCTAAATCATCGCCGCAACAGACATTTAAACAATTTGTATTTGAAATAGTGTTCTGAACAAATAGGTTTGAAGGTCGGCCGAAAATTTAGGTCATTCCTGTACCATAATAATTCTGACCATTCATCCTTGTTTAAACACCACTACTTTTTCTTAATAAATTTTTGTTTTGCTTTAATAGAATTTTTTGCATGCCCTCATTTTGATTTTATTCTGACGGTTTTATTTTCAGTATGACCTTGAATTGAACTAAAAGCAAACTCCAATTGGCTCAGGGTTTTTTTGTATTTCTGAACATACCATTTTTCTTCATCTTGAAATAAACCAAAAATGACAAGTTAGTTTATCTTCATCGAAACTATTTCAGTTTTTGAGAGGGATGTGACATAGCAAAGATAACGCACAATACTTATAATCGTTGAAAACCAAAATATGTTTTGAATTTCGAAGAACAACAAGGAACAAAAAAAATCTTGAATGTTTTCATTCAGACCATTTATGACTTCTATTTATTCATAATAGACCGAAAGTGTTATAGCTACCATCTGCAAAGTATCCCGCCTATGCATTGCCAAGCATTACTTTGTGGTACCCGGTCATAGTTTGCTCTCAGTTGTTGAAAACGTGCAATTGTTTAAAAAAATCACCTTTGACAGTAAAAACTAATTCAGACGAACAGTGCTGAAAAATATGACAATTTAGGCCCATTCGGCGGAATAAACGAACGCTTTTCGAAACTGTTACCAAAATGGTGATAATAAGCAATTACGAACATATATATCATTTAAAATTTAGCTGAATAAAAGTGCTGTCATTTTTTGCATGCCGTCTTGGTGACATTTTGGTGATCGAATTGCGTAATTGACTGTGTCAACTGCTTATGATTGAGCTAGTAAGTAAAATACAATATGCCGGCTTTTGTAACATAAAAGGCTATTATTTTGTCAGTTATTGTATTTATTGCAGACCTTTTTTTTTATGAACTTGTTTGTTTTAGTGGAAGTTTTTGATTAAAAGGAACAACTATTTTTGTAATGTTCTCTGTAAAAAGGCAAAAAAACGGAACTCAATGTGTTTCTTGCTTGTTGTATGACTTGGAAAAAAGATTGCCTATTTTAGGGTGGATTGAAGAAGTGAAATTGACATAGTTGAAGATGTCTCAAACTGGTTAACATTTACCGGAATGACAGCTTTGATCAAATAAATTAACCTTCGATAATGCTCTCTGACTCTTAATCGGTCATCAATGAGTTTCAAAAAAAAATCGAATTTAACACCAAATTCTGCGCATTTTAAGCGGCTCGGTTCCAAAAAACTTGCAGTAAGTGATGGCCCGATTGTTGTAAAAAAATTCATTTAGATCAATAGCCGTCAATTTAACTTAGTAATAGTATGCATAATTCTCCCCTTCCCTAAAGTGGTCCAAATCTGCAGGCAAAGTTTTCTGAACCGCAGGCAAAACTTCAAAAAAACAGGCCAAAAAAGACATTTTTAGGCTTTTTTTTGGAAAAAATGATAAAAAAATTGCGCTTTTTCGGCGCGCGCTTCCCCTCAAAATTGAGATATATTGTCGCCCTAAAGGCACCTTTAGAAAAACTTTAGGGTCCGTCACCAAAATTGGATATCTCAAAATAGTTCAAAGGGGGGACTCTTTGGGTCGGCATGGGGTCGAATCCCCCCGGACCCCCCCCCCCCCCCACCCCCAAAAAAAATCCGTACCTGAAATCCCTAGCGAAGTCCAGAAATTCTCGATCCACGTCTATATTGATGTGAAACGTACTTTCATTAAAAAAATTAATTAGCTATCAATTTATTGATTATTCTAAAAACAAAACAATTTTTTTTTATTTCAATGATGTCTTACAAAAAATCTCAATTAGGCTTTTTCATATTTGGAAAGTTTTGTTTTTGCTCTGACTCAGTGAAAGCTTGTTTCAAATGCTATTCTATGGAGCCCCTGATTTTCTCGATTTTTTTTTTGTTGATACGGATGTAAAAAATCTGTGGAAAAATTGTTGCATATTCAGCGGATAACCACATCACGAGTAGATATACCCGAAAAATTTTTATCGTTTTTTAATTTTGGAATAACTGTATGGCAATTCAATCAGCCGTAAGTTGCATGAAGAACAAGCTAAATTTTAGTAGTTGAAATTAGAGTTGGTTTCCTGGGTTGACCAGAACTTCTAATCATACAATTTCCATATATGAAAAACTTCTTATCATACAATTCCATTCAATTCCATACGAATGTATTAAATTGTATGAAATGTATGAAATTGTATCAAAATGTATGAAATTGTACCAAAATTGTACGAAATCTCAATGCGTTTTTCCATTAATGAAAAATGTGTGACAAGTAATTTTCCATTAACCAAAAAGTTGATTTTTTTTCAAATATTTAATTAAATTTTTCATATGTTAAAAATTTTGGGTCGTGTTTGTAACCGAAAGCAAGTGACAAAGATCTTGGTTTACTCAAAGCACCGAAGATGAATTGTTTTAGAGCTGTCTTCGGCCTGAATTGTTTTAGAGATGTCCTTCACAAATCATATAACGAAAGTAACGAACTCTTAATTTTTGGCAAAATTTTTAAAGCATGATCTTTTTTAAAATTAGATTATTTAAATTATCAGACATTGATCAAGGCATGCATAAAGATGACATACAAAAAAATAGGAGTTTTCTGCGTTTTGAAGAAAATTATTACGTGGCAAGGAAAAAAATTCAACATTAGTGCGTTCAGGACTACGTATGTACACCAAAAAAAAATAAATTTTCGATGCAAAATTTTTTTTCGAAAATGTTTGTTTGTGTACAAAATTCGATTACAAGGAATAAGCATAGAACTTAATCCAATCCTTGAAAAGTGCATCAATAAATGAATAGTCGAGTAGCGAGCAATAATGCAAACAGTAATCACTTTTGTCAAAGTTCCTTCTGAATTGTCAGTTTGATTGTGAAATCAGCTTCAATTTGTTAATTTAAGACTGGAATCTCATCGCAATCTTCACAATTACAATGAGAAGACACTGAGAAGAGCGTTCATCAGCGGAAAGTTTTTTTTTCAAAACTTTGTTTTAAGAAATTAACCTAAATTGAACAAAGAAGGGTCTCACAAAATGAATTTAACTCACATAGCCAATTTATATCATAATTTGTAATCATAACATTATCAATTAAAAATTATATTGTAAACTGTTTTTAAATGTTATGAATAACTATCAAGGCAAAAAATTTATATATTTTTATTTATGCAAACACTCCAATATCATACGTTAAAAACAAAAACTTCATTGCTTAAATAACAAAAAACAAACAAATACAAAAAATAATTGATATCAACCGTTAAAACAAAATTTTCGCTGCCAGTCATTAATATTTAGAAATACAATGAGGAAATTGCACCGGACATCCAAGTGTTTGCTGACTTCATATTAGGTGGCAGCGTATTGTTTCGGTCTTCAGTCACCGAGTTCGGATCCTCAGGTGTTTCTACAGAAACTATGATTTTTTTATCAGTTTTTTTTTCACTTCATCAGTCCGAACTTTTTTTGCTTTTACCGGGTAGTTGCAAACATGTTTCTCTTTTCTGAAGCCTATCATTGAGCTCTTATATTTATCAAAGTTGGTTATTTTTTTTCTCAAAAGAGAAGTATCCCGCTTTTGCATTCCCCATGCACAAATTTCAACTAATATGTGATGCTGTTTTTTTTGACAATTTAGATTTTTCTAGTGATACAATGAGGAAAAATTGACCATTCAAGCCAATTTAGCAGAATAAACCGAATTTTTGCAAAAAGTACCCTCCCAAAACTGAGATTTTGATATCAATCGAAGGACTGGTTTGAGAAGCGCCCCTGCATAAACGGCTACCTCAAAGTTTTATTCAAAACAACCTTTTGCCCTCGAAATTGTCAAGCTTCTGGTTTTCAGTCGTGATTTTTTGTCTTTCATCGAAAACTAAACAACGGAACCTGATTTCAACGTTTAAATGAATCAAAAGATTATGATTATCTTCCGTGCACAAGATTCTTTGTCTGTGGTTTTTCACTAAAATTGCTGTTTTTGTAAAAACTCAAATTTTTCGGAAAAAACTCAAAACCAGAGGCCAAATTGAAGCTGAAGGTTTCCATTTGTTGGAAGGACTGTTTCCTGTTTTTTCAAAATAATTTTCGAAAGTTTTTGTTTCTTGTAGGATCATTACGAAAAATTCTAAAAAAAAAACAGGAAACAGTCCTTCCAACAAATGGAAACCTTCAGCTTCAATTTGGCCCCTGGTTTTGAGTATGCAATTGTAAGGTGTAGACGTGATTGCCGGTTTTTGAGCCATTAACTGCACTCATTTCATGACTCGAAGCAGGTGCCTGCTAACAGGTTTTTGTGAAAGTGCATCATTCACAGTAAATATATCCTGATTATAACAGCCAAGTTTTAAAATATTTTTTGCCGTTTCTCACACTGCCCTTCGAACTGGTCTCTGGGCGTCAACTTCAAACTTCCAGATGTCAACGCTTGCTGCTCACAAAGACTCAAAGGCTTTGGCTTCAAGCCGCTCAAACCCCTCTTCGAACGTGGACACAATAATTCAATACTTTAATCCGTTGCAACCAATCCTGAGCCTGACTACCCCGAGCAATCAACACCAGAGACGCCCATACTTGGATTTTTGAGTCTCTTTTAGTCATTGGCTCTCTTGTTTCATCTAGTACCATGATTCCCCTCACTGAGCACGATCTACTACCTCCATAGCACATTGAAGTAGATGCCTACAACTTCATCTCACTGGAATAGGACAGTGACATCGAGTTTGCAAAACTGGACAACCCAAACATGCCCCTAGTGCAAGTCTGGTCACTGGAAATTGTGACGAAAAAGGCAAAAAAAGAAAACGAACTGTATTGAAATATCAGATGGGAAAAAAGCAGTTCTTGACAATCTTCATGATCTAAGAGAGACTGTACTGTTGCTTCTGATTCTGCTTTGCCGATCTGGAAGTAAA